CCTGTAGTCCCCCGCTACTTGGGAGGCGGAGGCAGGAGACTCGCTTGAGCCCAGGAGTTGGAGGTTGCTGTGAGCTGTGATGCCACGGCACTCCACCTAGGGCGACAGCTTGAGGCTCTGTCTCAAAAGAAAAATACTACTAATAATAATGAAGTTATATTCAGTGCTGACTCTTCCAAGTACTTCTGACTTTTTCTCTCATTGTATTAAAAACCTTTTGGAATTCTTTGCAGTGCAAGTCATTAAGAGCTCTTGTAAACTTTGGCATAATCATGACATCAAACAATCTGACCCATCTTTTTTCACTAATTTTCTGTGTCTTGAGATGGTTTAAGTAATGTGCTAAGGAAGGACTAAAGTTTCAGGGAGGCCATCTTAATCTAGACTTACCAATAACTAGAATAGCCAGATGTTCCTATAGAGCCATGCCAAGATAGTCAGGGTCTTTCATGCTGGCAGGAACAAAAGTATTTAAAAGGCAGAGTCTCCTGCTGTTAAGAACTAAAAATAGCTTTCAGGTCCCCTTTAGAGGCTTCCCGCGGGGGTGATGCCAGCTGTGTTGCTCTGGAGAATGTCTTGGCTTTGGCTGGGAGGCTGTGGGGTACTGATACCAAGCTCCTTTACTTGATTCTCCTTTTTTCTTAGCCCTGATGCAAAGTTCCAGAACATGACCAGCAAGTGGCCAGCTGTGTGGGTGAAGATCAGCTCTAGCTGGGTCTGCCTCCTCCTCTATGTCTGGACCCTCGTGGCTCCACTTATCCTTACCAATAGGGACTTCAGCTGAACTCCTGAATGCCAAGGATGCAACTGAAATTCATAAAGGTCTCTTTAGCCAAAAACCTGTATCTCTTCTAGGTTTGCTTCAACTAAAATATTAAGTGAACGCTTTGTAGATTTGACTATATCCAGGTATATAGCAAAAAGGCAAGATTGAATAATGCTTGATGCAGAATCTGAACTTCCCGGTTTACCTATATATTATGTTATTTGTAAGGATATAGAACAAAGGGAGCATTTTTGTGTTTAAAGTTAAACTACAGCTGTGCTGTGAAGAGAGTTCTTTATCAAGATTAATAGGTTCCTAGAAATCTAGTTTAAAATGTAAGATAGAAAAATGTTGGATATTTGAGGCCATTGTTAATATATTTCTATTGCAGTATCCTTAAAAAGCAAAAAGAAAAAAAAAGGGAAAAAAGCATTTATATGACATTTCCTCTGTGAAAGTCCTTACTATTGTGATACAAGCACTGTGTTCTGGGCTTAAACTCTTCTGAGGTGTAGTGGTAGTTCTTGGGGGAAGAATTATGTATGTGGGCCCTACCCAGAGGAATGGATGCTAATATGGCTGCTGCTTCTACATCTTGAGTTTTTTAATTTACCTTTTTTATACTATAGCATTGATGCTGCTTGATACAAGTGTGGTGCTTTGCCAGGTATGTTAATTTTAATACATGCTTTGTGGGTTTGGTTAAAGTAAACATTCACTTGGGAAAACACTGCAACTTCAGTCTGTGTAATTTTCTTGTTATGAGTATGTAAAAGTAAAATGCATGTGGATTTGTTATATTTGCACTATAAAGGTATTTGATTAAAATAGAAAGACTTTAAGATTTGAAAGCCCTTTCTTTAACAGCTTTTATGAGTTAGCAGCCATTCTTTATTTTTTGGATGGTTAGATTTATCAAGCATCTAGGCAAGATGTTCCTCTTTCTTCTTAATAATATAGTCTGGTGAGCAAAGTCTTGAACTCATTCAAAAATCGTTGTAAATATCTTCTCTGAGTAAGATACTCAGGTAGGTGAGAGACAAGTAAGGCACCATCAAGAAATGTTTTCATGAGAAGGCAACATGAAAAAAGGCAGAATAGGCTTGGCGCCTGTGGCTCAAGTGGCTAAGACACCAGCCAGATACACCTAAAGTGGTGGGTTCAAATCCAGCCTGGGCCCGCCAAAACAACAATGACGGCTGCAACCAAAAAATAGCTGGGTGTTGTGGCGGGTGCCTGTGGTCCCAGCTGAGGCAGGAGGCTGAGGCAGGAGACTCGCTCGAGCCCAGGATTTGGAGGTTGCTGTGAGCTGTGATGCCACTGCACTCTGCCCAGGGGGATAGCTTGAGGCTCTGTCTCAAAAAAAAGGCAGAATAAAATGGTTTGTTTTGTCAACAAAGATTCACTTTCTGTTCTGCACCAGGCCCTGTACGTTTTGCTGACAGCTTTAAATATGTTAGAGGCTCTGCCATCTTGGACTTAAAATTTATAGGAGAGTGAAAATGAGTGTGGTGAATTAGGTCTGTGATTTAGGAATTGCAGAGAACTCAAAGGAGAAGTAACTGGGGCGGAGGTATCATGGTAGACTTCCTGGGGAGATGATGTCTTAGCCAAGAACGGTTAGAGTTAGCTAAGGAAGAAAGGAGTAAATGGGATGACATTGCTGAAGAGTAGACAAAACTGCATGTTAAAGACAGAGATGGAAAAAAAATGTTCAGTAAAGCAAAGCTACAAGGGGGAAAGGAGACGGAGACTGAGTTCTGAAGAGCTTTATAAACCCCACTGAAGAGTCTGGACCTTATGTTGAGGACAGCGGAGAGCATATTCTTAGTGCCATGAAGAAATTATATCTTCAGTTCGCTATGGCCAATAGACAGAGAAAGGTTTAGAGAAATGAGACCAAGGCCATTCCATGTAAGATTTGAAATAGAGAAGTGGAAGTTGGGATGGGGAGAAATTAACCTCTGAGAGCTACTTAGCAATTAGAATTTTAACATTAGCAATTAATTAGATATGTGGGAGAGGTAGATTGCTGAGTGATTCTGGCTTAATTATCTGGGGGGATGGTGGTTCCATGTATTCAGGTGGGAGACAGGAAGAGGAACAGGTATTGGAAAAATAGAGGTAGGTGGTCCCTTAAGAACACAATTGGGGGCTTGGCCCCTGTAGCACAGTAGTTACGGCACTAGCCACAGACACTGAGGCTGGCAGGTTCAAACCTGGCCTGGGCCAGCTAAACAACAATGACAACTGCAGTAAAAAATAGCCAGCCATGTGGCAGGCACCTGTAGTCCCAGCTCCTTGGGAGGCTGAGGTAAGAGAATCAATCACTTAAGCCCAAGATTTTGAGGTTGCTGTGAGCTGTGGCACCACGGCAGTTCACTGAGGGTGACATAGTGAGACTCTGTCTCAAAAAGACAAACAGAAAAACAGAATTGGGAATCATTATTTGACTTTGCATCCCAACCTTGTCATCTTTTAGCTGTCAAACTGGTCAGCTAATATTTATTGAGTACGTACTATGCTTTATGACCTTGAGCAAATATCTCTACCTCTCTGAGCCTCAATGTTAGTACCTTAGTATGTAAGAGTATCTAAAGTCATTGTGCAAAGTACTTGACCAGTTTTTAAACACTCTTTGACAGTAGCAGCTAATCTCACTATGGTCTATAATGAGGCAGGATGATGTTCAATGGTCAGAGATGTTCAACCAGAATCTGATGGAGGCAGGATTGTTAGTATTCTTACAGAATTGAAAAGATGAACATCAGGGGAATGGGCTCAGGTGGGGTGGAGGTGGCAGATTGATATAAATTATTGGAACCATTGTATTTTACAGCAGTGGTTTATGTCAGAGAATGGAGAAAAAGTTGCAAGGAATTAAGGGATAGATAGGAAGATTCAGCCCCTTATCTCACCAGTATAGATGCCCACTTTCTTTAATAGCAGGAGAGCCAGATAAAGAGCTTTAAGGGTTCTAAACTTTAAAAACCTGACAGTGCCCTGCCTGTCCTCTGCCTTATGTAATTCACAATAAAAGCAATATTAAACTGTAATATGAGTGTAACAAAGTCCAATAAAGTTTTTACTTTTTCTTATGATAACTTTGATATTCATTTGAGGTAAAAAAATTTCTCTTTAAAAATTGGGGGACAGTGTCCTTTTCTTGGTCATGCCCTAAAAATTTGTTACGTCTGCCTGTTAGTAGGAAACCTAGTAGTTCACTCCAGTGAATTATACACATGACGCTGAATTACACACAAGCATAAATAATGCCAGCACAGCACTTTGAGTAAGCCCAGGATCATGATTTTAAGCAGGGGAGTATTGAGTTATAAGATCTCATGGTAGAATTTCATTCCAGATGAGTAAGTTGGTGTTTCATCATGATGAAGAAGCTTGTTTGTTTTCCCAGGCCTGCAGTTGAGGACCTTGGCTTTGAGGTCAGGGGCATTCTCTAGGTCTAGGAATTCATGAAAGGCAACTTCATGAAAAGGCTTCCACTTTTACCTAGTTACAGCTGGAAAAAAACTTACAGGATCATGCTGGATTCCTTTACTTTGGTCTTGCAAGATACTTGGTTGGGTAAAACTTTCTTGATAAGGAGTCAGCCAAAGAGTAGCCATGGATAGTAACCACCTATCAATATAGGCTTTGAGGTGGGGGGGAATTAATCAAGTGAAGCAGTGGGAATGGAGAAGGAACAAAGAAATCTGTAAACTGGCTTGGTGCCTGTGGCTCAAGTGGCTAAGGCACCAGCCACACACACCTCAAGTGGTGGGTTCGAATCCAGCCTGGACCTGCGAAACAACAATGGCTGCAACCAAAAAATAGCCTGGCATTGTGGTGGGCACCTGTGGTCCCAGTTACTTGGGAGGCAGAGGCAGGAGACTCACTTGAGCCCAGGAGTTGGAGGTTGCTGTGAGCTATGATGCCATAGCACTCTACCCAGGGGGACAGCTTGAGGCTCTGTCTCAAAAAAAAAAAAAGAAATCTGTAAACTGGTTATGATCAATTTAGTTGTAAACATCACTGCACTCAGACTAGCCTAGTGTAGCTGTTGATATTCCAAACCAGATCATAATTCGGGTGTAATTTATACCAGGATAGCTTTTTTTTGTCCCTTATAAATCCTCCCTAAAGTGTATGTTCACACAATGAGCCATGCATTTGAGCTCTGCAGTTTGATGGCAGTGACTAGGCTTATGCTTGTTAATGGGAGCTGCTGTTGATCTCTTTTACTCCTATTGTGTTGTATGGTCTGTCCATCCTATTAGCTAGGCACCCAAATCAGACAGCCTACTCAAGTGATGTCCTGATTACTGCTGGGTGATCAAGCCACAGGATGCCTGTGGCCTCAGGTGAATAATAATAGTAATCACCACATAAGTAGCTCTGTGTACCACACTATGAACAGATACTGTCAAAACCTCTCTTCCCCCTGCCCCCAATTACAGATAAAACTTAGAGAAGTTTATGACTTACTCAGTTACTTAGAGGTAAAACAGAGGAACCAATCCAATTGAGAGGTTTTTTGTTTTTTAATTAGGCCTCATTGTCTCTTGGCCCATAGTGAGAGACAAGATATGCTAGAGAACGGCTTAAATGTAGGCGAGTCATCGGACTCACTAAACTATCCATCATTAACACAGGAAAGTTAGTAATTACCTGAAGGTCATGGTGTCCCTAGTGGTAACTAGTCAGGTAAAAGCACAAACATTTCATTAAAAAAAACTTTTTTCCTCAGAAAAGTGGCACCCTAAAATGTCTTTTTACTTACCAGCTTTAAATGCAGTGACAGGAAACTTTTTGTAAGGGTGCCAAGCCAGTAGTGTGTATAAGGAATGGGCATTGAAAAGGTGCTCGTGACATAGAAGTGTGTCTTCAGTGAGCCTCATGACACTGCTGTGAGATAAAAAGGATTGGAGCAGTGGCTCATGGCTGTAATCCTGGCATTCTGGGAGGCCTAGGCCAAACAGTCCCTTGAGATCAGGAGTTCGAGACCAGCCTAAACTAAGCAAGAATGACACCCCATCTCTACTAAAAATAGAATTAGCTGGGCATTTTGGTGTGCGCTCCCAGCTACTCGGGAGGCTGAGGCAGGAGGATTGCTTGAGCTCGGGACTTTGAGACTATAGACTGTCTCAAGAAAAGAAAAAAAAAAGGATCGGAGCAGTTTGCTCCAGATGTGAAAGACTGAGCTTAAGTTCCACAACTTCCTCAGGAAGGACTGACCTGAATTGTTGGTATGGCTGCAATGTAAGTGCTTAACCTATTGCATCATCCAAAACGTACAACATCCTGTGTTAGAATATTTCTCAACTGACTTATCGCCGACACACCAAAAACTCCATGAGGACCTAACTTTTGTCCGCTCTGGGGCAGAGTGTGCACACCTCGATAAAATAAACATGTAGAGAAACAGCATCGCATGTGTGGGACCAGAGTTGGTCAGGCCACACCCTGGTTACCCATCAGGGAGTCTGGGCTTGTTCCTAGGTGCTTCTGGAATAAAATGTTCAATTATAGCTAGGATCTCAGAGTTTAAGAACAGCTGCTTTTATATTATATTATCAAGAAGCCAGCAAATAAGCCAAATTCTGGTACCCTTCCTTTATAAAAAAAGTCCTACCACCTTTCCCCTCTGTGTTCTATCTAGGGGTGGGTTATTTGACTATAAGACTTGTACAACCTAGCCCCAACCATCAGAAGGAAATAGTGGGCTCCAATCAGCTGCCTGGTTTTGAATCCCATCTCTGTTGTTTGGCTAGCTGTGTGTCCCTGGGCAAGCTATTTAACTTTTCTGTGTCTCACTTTTCCCACAGGGATATACTACTACTTCATTAAGAGTGTAAGGGTATCTGAAGGTTAAATGAGGCTTCAAGAGCTGAAAACTGTGCATGTCACCTCTGCTACTATGTAGCCAGTTCCATTCTCCTTCCTACAGATTGGTGTAACCTTTGGAGGCAACCAGCCCAACATCTACAGAATGCACTTTGCCACTACAGTGCCCCTCCATACTTCCCTGGAGAGGAGGCTCTGTCTTCTAGGGCCTGTGAATAATAAACCTCAGAACCTTTATCCAAATTGTCATTGTCACAAAGGAACGCCACACATATTTAACCTTACAAGGGTTTTTATTAAGATCCAGTAGTCATGCATACTAAAATTACATATTTTCACCACGTTGACTTAGAAAATGCACTAGAAAAATAAACTTTTGGTCAGAACAAACACTGAAGTACATGAATCTACTACCATGTGTCCTACACTCAAAGCCAAACTGAATTTCAGTTTGAAGCAAGGAATGTGACCAGTGGCTGAAATGGTGCCCAAACTGGTCAGAAAATTAGCCCACCTCCCACCCCATCATAGTAGTGCCAGAGGCTGTTGGTCACAGAGAGGTTTCAAGTATTTCACTTGTAACAAGTTGTTGCCTGATCTAGGAAACTAAAGCATGTCCACAAGAGTCCGTAACAGCACTGACTTACAACCTGACTAAATAGGCTGCCCAGTGAGAGTAAAAGAAAAAGAGCCAAGTGAAAAATAGTAAAGTCACTGTCACCTCCGTCTACAAGTCACACTGGATCTTTCCATGAAGCAAGCTCTTGTTGATTGATCATATTATTTGCATGTCAAGCAAACCTTTTCCCAAGTCAGGAGACAGAAAGACTCCCCTGCTCTTTGTTAGACTTAACTAAATTAACAGATCCCAATACTGAGAGGTGCGATCAGAACTAATATCTTTCCTAACAGTCGACTTCTTTCTGTTTGGTACTGCCACAGACTACTACACTTATTAGTTGAGCTCACATTTTACTCCCTAAATGAAAGGAAGTTTCAAAGCAAAAGCTTAAAAGCTGAAAATGTTAAAATGAGGTATAATAATGCCACAACAGTACTAAAGCTTTTGCTACTCAAATGAAAAAGTAATCCCATGATTGGTCTGAGAGTCAAATGACATTTAAAGAAACTGTTCACCTAGGGAGAATTCTGCAAGGCTTGGGCAAAATGCTGCTTATTGCCCTATTTCTGAAAACAAAACAAAACACAGTATCAGGTAACCTGAAAGGCTAATAAGCCACCTGAGACACGTGACTCCTTAGGAAACAGGGTGGAATATGAGAGATTTAAAGCCGCCTTTGCCAAGAGCAAATATGAAACTCAAGGTGTGAAGCTGGAGTGGCACTTCTGTTTCTGCAGATTTTATCCAGCCTCTCTCTAGGAAGGTAGGATTCTAGGAAGAGGCATGGTTTTCCAAAATTCTGGGTAGGGATGTAGGGAAAGAAGAGAAAGAAAACTTGCATGTTCCTCAGCTATAGATTGATTTGGAAGCTTTAGGTACCAATTCATTCAGACCTAAATCTAAAAACCCCAGTAAAAGGGTGAAGGAAAGCCTCTAGAAAGATAAGAGTACAGTGTTGCTGTGGCAAGTAAAGCCAATCAGGTGCCAGGGCAGAGAGTTGACAGTACAATGATCCAGGGGTGTGAAGTGTATTCCAAGGATACACAGCCAGGTAAACTGGAACTTCTAATTTGTGATCTCTTTGCTTCCCAATACCCAATACCTCATTACCTTGAATTCAGGGAATAGTGAATTTTTAGGTGTTTTGTGCAATGGGCCAAAACCCTGTCCTGAAGGAAAACAGACCTAGTTCTAGAGGTTTACTTGTTTGCTACACCTGGGGGCTGGCGCCACTAAGACTCACCAAGTGCTCCTGTTGGACATTCCTCACCCTGCTGGGGCAGCTTCAAACCAACACCCTGGTGAAGTCACAGGGAGACTGTCTTAATTTTCACCCAAGGAGGTCCTGGTTTCACAGCTTGGCTCAAACTTCCTGAGGTCTCAGAACTATTTGATCTCTCTTTGGAGCTGAACCAAAGCACACAGCAGCTCCACGAGGCAGACAAACCTGCTCTGAGTCCGTTCAGAAGCTGAAAGGAAGAGCTGCTTCCTGGTCCAACTGGAAAGGCTTGGGAAATGGGTTTTTCTGGTCTTCGAAGTATTTTTCTTTTTCTTTTCTTTCTTTTTTTTTTTTTTTTTTTTTTTGGTCTCACACTGTCATCTGGGTTTGAGTGCAGTGGTATCATCATAGCTTACTGCAACTTCCCTAGGTTCAAGCAATCCTCCTGCCTCAGCCTCCGGGAGCAGCTGGGACAAGAAGCATGAGCCACTTTACCCAGCCTGGGATATTTCCTTAGGTGAGCTTGGCCATTCTTTTTTTTTTGGCCAGGGCTAGGTTTGAACTCGCCACCTCTCTGGCATATGGGGCCCGCGCCCTACTCTTTTGAGCCACAGGGAATGCCCAGAGCTTGGCCATTCTTATGTTAAGTCTTGTAGACAAAAATGACTGGCCAGGAATGCAATGTAGAATTTAAACCTCAGGAACTTGGTGGATCTGAGTGATTCATTCTTCTCTTTGCCTAGTTTGTTTATTATTTGTTTTTTCTCTCTCTTCCCTCTTGGGATCTCTAACCAGTTCTCCCATCCAGACCTTTGGGTCCTAAATGCTCTACTTTAGCCATCCCACTTGCCCTGCTAGGACTTCTCAGCAATGCTGGTCACATCATTAGATGGAACTAGAGGCAGTGAGGGATACACATTTTGGCACTTCCTGCTCAGCAGCGAGGACCCTAGAGGATCCAGGGTTATTATCTATGGTGAAAAGAGCTTTCTCTAGAATTGGCTTACTCAATGAGGTAAGTAAATTAATTTCTACCAACAGTGTCTCCATTTCTAAAAGTGCAATAAGGATGAACAGCGTAGTAACAACAGACTGGCCTTGAATTTTAGAGTACTGTTGTCTTGCTAGTTGAGCTATCTGCCTTGCCTCCTTAAGTCTAAAAATGCATGGAGAAGGTACACGTACAACATGTAGTACTTGTCACAATTTAACACCATAATCACATAGAGTAAATATCAAAGGAAACAGGGTGCTAGCCATCATATGAACCACCTAATTTGATGCTTGGGCTAGGGCTGAAATCTTGGCTGGGAAGATCTAAAGTGCCGAAATGCAGAGATGATGTTCAGCCGGCTGGTCCACCCAGGCCAGAGAGAGAAACTCACGTGGGTCTAGGAGGGCGGAGGCCTCACCCAGAAGTGACCCAGCAATCCAGAAACCAGAATCCCAAGTAATGTAACCACTATAGTCAAGTTTATAATATACTACCAGAGTCTCAGGGATGGAAAGGTTCATTCAAGATCATGGTCATCTCACCTGGCCTCACAAAAGCCACCTTTTAAAAGTTTAACCATCACTACTCAAAGGATATTGGTATCAGTGAGTTCCAGGAATACACACAGTAGTTTCTTTGCAGTCAAGGCCAAATGGTGACACATTCTTCGTGGAAAGGCCTATGTGTACCATACAAAAACAGGAATCCAACTACTTGTATCTAGATAGTCATTTTTCCAGACAGAAAATCTAACGTTCAGTAACTAAACCAAATCCCAGAACCTTAGCAGCCAGACAGGACCTAGACGTTATCTCACCCACCTCATTTTATATATTTTCAAGAAAGCTGAGGCCCACAGAGGTTTTGTCCATAGTTGCATGCCTGTGGTCCAGGTCTCTGATTCCCAGGCTGAATTCTTTTAGCTACATACACCTGGAATCCAGTATTTTAGATTGAGTAAGATCATATACTTCTAAGACCCTGTATGATTCTATTGAGAACCAGGGCTAAGGCTTTCTGGGTTTGGAAAAACTTAAGTTTCTATTGCAAGATTCAACCAATGAACCCCAGAGGTGCTTTGAAGTCTCAGGCTTCCAAATTTGATCAGGAAGTGCTGCTGATGTCCTGATGCTGTGCTGATGTCCAGTTAAGGTGCTTTCCAAACCTAGTAATAGCAGCTGGGGCCTCAAACATGAAGTTTCTTAATGAGTAACAGAGGTCGGTGGTCAGGGTTTACGTAAAAGACAAACTCCCAAAGCCAACATTAGGCCACCTTGCAGGCTTAGCCCAAATGTTTCATAGGAGCACAGCTGACTGGCCAATCAGGTGGTTTTCTTGAAAATGGGACCAAAGTGACTTTGTTCCTGATTTTTCCTGCTTCCAAGATACATAAAAACAGATTTTTAAGGAACCCAGATTCAGCTTCCTGATTAATAGTTACAAACTGGGATTCCAAATGTTTGGAAATCACTGGGGACATTTTCCATGTCTTCTATGGAATAATTCAAGTAACCCATGACTGGCTAACCTTCAAATCTCGAGGGCTGTTCCTCCATGCTGCAGTTTAATTACAAGGCACAAGACCGAATCCTTGGCACCTTAAGTTCTCCTTGTGCCTCTCCAAAGAAAAAAGGACTTAAAGATGGTGACACAGGGGACTACCTAGTAACAGGAATACAGCTGTGATTTAACAGCTCGCATGGAGTCATCACACTGTGCATCTGAGGTCAGTCCCTCAGGCAGCAGCGCCTGGCCCAGGATGCTGTCGCAGGCAGGAGCAGGCTGGCAGAACTCTTTGACAAAGTCATCTTCTGAGGCCAGCAGTACTGCATTCCAGGTGGCAGTGTCCAGCTCTCCAGCTGTGCCCCCATACTCTTTGGGGAGAATGCTTCTTGGAAGGTTTGTGTGGAGAGAGTTCAAGTCAGACCCATGGAGGAAGAACTGAAGGGGAATGAAAACACACATGTCCTTAGGTTAAGCAGTAATGCAGAAATCTTCATGGTAGCTGCTCAAATAAATGTCTATTGAATGAAGAAAGGAAAGGTTAATGGCAACTCTACTCTTCCAGTTTCTCAGCCCAGAAAGCTTAGAACATCCTTAATTCTCTTTTCCTTATACCACACATCCTGTTAGTGGGACCAGCGAGATGTATATCCAAGATCCAACCACTTTGCAGCTACCCTAATGGTACCAAGCCACCATCACTTCTCACTTGGATTCCCATAGCAGCCACCTACCTGGTCTCCCTGCTCCTTGGCCCTCTGCAAACTAAACTCTCAATGCAAGTCAGATCATGTCAGATCATTCCTATATTTATAAACTTCCACCTCACAGATTAAAAGCCAAAGTCTGTATATACAATGGTGACAGAGTTAAATGTAGGGACCCACCCAAGTAGAGTGGACCTGCCCAAATAGACTAACCTCCACCGTTCCAATGGATGTCCTACCTAAGAAAGGTGAATGGACCAACCCCCCACCCTTCCGACCTTTATTATTATTATTATTTTCTTGAGACAGAGTCTCATTGTGTCGCCCTTGGTAGAGTGCTGTGGCATCACAGCTCAAAGTAACCTCAAACTCTTGGGTTTAAGCGATTCTCTTGCCTTAGCCTCCCAAGTAGCTAGGACTACAGGCACCTGCCACAACACCTACAACACCCAGCTATTTTTTGGTTGTAGTTGTCATTGTTGTTTGGCAGGCCTGGGCTGGATTCAAACCCATTAGCTCAGGTGTATGTGGCTGGTGCCCTAGCTGTTGAGCTATAGGCACTGAGCCAATTAATTAATTAATTAATATTTGAGACAGGATCTCAAGCTATTGCCCTTCGTAGAGTGCTGTGGCATCACAGCTCACAGCAACCTCAAACTCATGGGCTCAAGCGATTCTCTTGCTTCAGCCTCCTGAGTAGCTGGGGATTCTCTTGCCTCAGCCTCCCAAGTGGCTGTGACTACAGGCGCCTGCCAGAATGCCTGGCTATTTTGTTGTTGTTGTTGCAGTCTGGCCAGGGTTGGGTTTGAACCTGCCACCCTCGGTATATGGGGCCAGCGCTGTGTCCACTGAGCCACAGGTGCCACCCCCAGTAAATAGCATTTTTAAACCCAAAGATTCTGTAGTTCAGAAATGACCATTAAAGGCCAGGTGTAGTGGCTCATGCCTATATTCCCAGCACTTGGGGAAGCCAAGGCAAGAGGACAAAAATCCTTGCTCTGCTCTCTCCACTGGCGAACATTCTTATTAATTTCATCTTTCCCTCACAAAAAGATTGTTCATTTATTTTATCTGTAACACTGTACTTTCCAACTAAGTATTGGGCAAAAATAATTAAGTATTAGATGTCACAAATAATCGCTTTTCGGTCTTTTGGCTAAGATCAAGTGTAGATGTCACAAATAAATCAAGGGAGGAAAAAATATTAAAGTCTCTGAAGTCAATAGGGAGATCACTTACTCTGTTTGCTATTTTCTCCTTCAGAAATGGTTTTATGATGGCAAAAATGCCTTTAAATATTCGAGGTTCATTCACTACATGCACTGCTTTTATCCGAATGGGGAAACCATCCTGTGGAAGGAAGGCAAAGGGATGTCAGAATATCTGGAGGACCTTTATGCACCTGCCTTCCCGGTTAAATCTTCATTTGAAGCCCCAACATTGGTCTGACCTGATCCTCATAGCCTCCTCAAAGACAGCCCAAGTGGAGGTTCAACTGGAAGACCAACCTGACCCAAAACCAGGTTAGAAGAGAAGAAGGCCAACAGGAGGGGAGCAAACCATTATTAAATACTGTGCAGATGCAGAAGGAACTTTATGGTCCCAGTGACTCGTGTGCTTCGATGCCCCACATGAGGTGTGAAGCATCGGACCAAAACACAGACCAACCCCCATGTCCCCAGGTCTACAGAGGCCAGGAGGGGCTCCAGCAACGTGGGCAGAAGCACAGTTTCTCAGTTTTTTTTTTTTTTTTTT